AGGGAAAGAACAGAAGGGCACATTATCTCTGTGATGAGGTGCAGATTCTCCTCTGTTAACATGTAAAAGACACATTCATTATTTAGGCCCTGAGTTGCTTCAGTTCAATTCCAGTGGTTGTGTAAAAGCAAAGGAGCTTTACGTCAAACAGCAGTAAAATAGGATACCGTGGTAACTTACTCCACATTCCACTCTATCCTCATATTGCTTTTTCGCCTTCTTCAGTACCTTCACCTCCTTTCCCAGCCTCATGAATATGCAGGACCCATTCCTTGCCAATTCTTTGAACTGCTCCCTTGCATCCCATGAAAAATGTGCTGGACTGAACTGTGTATGAGCCATTCTCTTAAACAAAAGAGAATTTGCCCAGTGTTTTCACTCCATTGATGATTCATTGTGCAGTCTGAAAAATCCATCTTTTTTTTTTTCCCTAGCAAGATTTCAAAGGAAAACAAGAGCAGAGCATGTGTATTTATTGATTTAGATATAAATAATATGAAAAGACGCTTGTAAAAATGTCTGGACACTTTAATTCATCATTAGAAGGACAAAAATAATCCAGCAGTTTTAAAATAATCATTTCAATAAGGAACTCTGCCAAAGAACCACACACAAAATCTTTTCATCCTCTCCTCCTTTGGAGAGAATGTACCATCAGCCCCTTTGAAAAATCCTCTACCAAAGAAGTCTTTTGCAGTATGCCTTGATGGTCAACCAGCCTAGGATCCTTGGGACTAATTAGCTATAGAGACTGTTTTTAGGCAGTCTGCATTCTTACTCATTAAAAGTATACTGTAATTATATAAAAAAGTGTATATGCAAGTATGTGTGTGTACATACCCATTTATAGACATTTATCCCATACAGATGAAAGCCCCTTTATATAACCAATCAGATTTGGGCATTTTCATTATATCCAGCCATAGATGTCAAAAAACTCTTTCCTTGCAGAAAACTTAGCGCTGGGTAAGGTTGCCCATCCATGGCCATGAGCACCAGATGTGCTGAGTAGGAGGGTCACAGAGCATCGTCACGCATTCCTGGCCAGATGTTCTAACTCACCCTTAGCTGGAGGTATCCTGGCAAGCACTGAAGTGCACTGCAGGCAGAGTTCAAAACGGGAATGAGGACAGAGGAGAGGGCAGAGGTGGACCTGGAGAAAATCTCCAGCATAGTGAAAGCTGAATTAAGTCTTTTATCTTTTCCTTCCCACTGCTGAAATGTGAATATGATCCTAGTTGTGATATGGAAAAGTAAGTTTTTCCACTTGGACGTTTTTTAATAAGAACATGGTTTACAGAACCGTCTGTGCATGCTGGGCAGTGCAATTTCACTATTTAACATTGAAAGACAAGCAGCAGAACATTTTGGATACCTTTGACCTCACTGAAAAATTTTCTCATATCCTCCATACATTCCTCTTTTTCCTTAGCAAAAGATGCCTAGGGAATGCCCACTTTTAATTGCAGACAGAGGATACTGCCAACAATTAAGAACTACCTCACTATACTTTGAGAGGTAGATGAGTCCCCATATAATCCCCTAAAAGATGAAGAGACTGAGATAACGTCAGATTTTCTCAGCTGGAGTAGCCACTGAGGTTGACAGGAACTGAGAACTGTAGAGTTAGCTGGACATCTTACAGAAATTCCTAAATGTAGACTCATATGACTAAATCTAAGTCACACTTGCAGCTCAAGAGAGCAACCAGTGGCAAGAAGAGTGAAGTAGTGAAAGAACTAGGAATAAAACCTAGAAGTGTTGCTTTCCAGTCCTAGAGATGCTGGATTTTAACTACTGTAAAACACACCAAAAAAAAAAAAAAAGAAGGCCTTTTTAGGAATATTCATAGAGGGCTCTGATCCAAAGCCTAATGATTAGCAATCTTACAGGTGATTTGGCTTAGGAATGATATGAATTAATACATTTGAATTAACATGTAATTTACCTCTAGTTAATACTTTTTATAGTCAATGGGATGTGCTATACAAGCTCATCCGCAACCCAAAGCTTGTATGTGGCTATGTGAGTCTACTGCTCTGAAAACTGGTTATCTGGAACATATTTCTAACCTATAGCCTATGGAAACACCATTGACCTCTGTAGCCTTTGTACGGCTGGGAATCAGGAGCGTCTTTTCAGATGTGAATGGAGTTACGCTTATGTAAAATTGATACTAGAAGAGAACCAGGCCCTATAAGTGAAGCTTCTATTAGTAAAATTGAGGATTTGTACTAGGTTTATAGGCCAAAATTGTGAAACAAAAGCTAAACACTAAAATCCATAATTAGGCATTTAGACAAAGTGACCTGATTCTTACAGGTGCCAGGTAACTTCATTTCCCTTTGGCTTCTGTGGAGGTAAGCTGCCTTGATTTTAGCAGTGGAGAAGAGCATGCACACAAACTGCTCCTGCAAAGTTACTGAAGGGCTGCAGACCCACACCCAAATTTACTGCACAGCAGCATGCTTATGTTGTCATCCTTTAAGGTCCCCGGAGATTTGAAAAAGGTCCTGTTTATTCCTGTCCGAAATTATGAATACAAGGTCCTCGCTGTGGACAACCAGATTTGGGCATTCTGTATGTCTTCTTCCCCTTTCACACATCAGGGATCTCTATGACCTCTCTGCTCTCAACATTATAATAATTCTATCAAATTTTGTCTGATATCAAAGTACATTTAAAAAAAATTACAAACGTCTGCTAAGTCTTCTTTGTAAAGAAGAAACTAAGATAAAGTGGGAAGTATTTACAAAAGACATGAACTGTGATTCCTCACTCCAAGTTTGTGGGAGATACAGACAGCGCTTGGTTTTTCGGAACCATTCATGGCTGACATTTGAATCTTTGCTTCCTTGGAACAAAGCAAAAGCAAACTAACAATATTAAGGTAGGTGAAATACAATGACATTCTCTACAAGGACTAAAGCTTTACTGTGTAGTGCAAACAATTTACTAGACCTCTTCGTTTTCTGTAACAAAAACCACTTCTTTCGGGGGTCGAGCATTTCCAAAAGTCTAGCAAAACATTTAGTGCCATTAGGCAGCCCTTCACAGCGTTCAAGGCAGCCGTTCCACATTCACGGAAGCCGCGTACCCGACCCTTTCTGTACCCTGGGCAGCTCTAGGGAGTCCTTGTATAGCTTTCCTAAGATTTTCCTTGAGACTTCACAGTTCCCAGAGCTCCTATTAAATAACCATGACTGCCATTTTCCCAGTTTGAGCACCGTGCATATCTACAGCCTTCAAATGTCAAAACAAAACCAGAAACAACAGCAACAATAACAAAACAAAAACCAACCCACCAACCTACTTTTGCTCTGGAGAACAATTAGGTAGCACAGGTTATGAGCGCAAGAAACATTTGGATCCAAAGAGCAAAAATTTCCAAGGGTAACACTTTGCCTGCTTAGGAAAGGAAGAGTTGATTCCTCCCTTGAAAGGCGCAAAAGATTTCTGTGGCCCCTACAAAAACGTTATTAGCACTGTTCTCCCACTGCATTGTGGGTAATGGCTGTAAAAGCAAATTCGGCTTTTAGAGGGGAACAGAGGCACCTTCTCGAACATGTTAAATGTTCTGTGGCAGCTGGGAGAGCCATACACCACAATTAAGACCATGACATCTAAGCATGTGGCACGAAATATTCTAACTCTCCAGAAAAACCTTCCAAAGACTGCTACATTTTCTTGTATTCAAAACAAAACAACACTGAGCAGCTTTATTAAGTATAGTCCTATATTTTTGTTAATGGTTAGTCTGCTTCCTAAAGTCAAAGGAGGTGATTTTGATCTCATTCACAATAAGGCAATTCAAGAATGACGCCAGTCAAGCCAACAGAATAACACTAGGGTAAAGCTGACTGAACTGAAATCAGAATAATGGTCCAGATTCTGGCAGTGCAAAAAGTGGTTAAACTGGTCTAATAACAATTATTCTCATTAGGTCACACCATTTAACTTTAGAGTCTAATGAACGTTCAAAGTGTAACTACTTTCACCAGTTTTCAATCCAAATTTCCTATCTGATGTATCTTCTAGTTTATGGTCTAAAACCAAAAACCTTCTTGTAAATATTTTGTAGGCAAAGCAACATCTCAGTTTTATCATGCCCTCTTGTTTAATTTTTAAGAAAAGAATGCAACCAGGAATTAGATTAGTTGATTATCTGAAAAACAGGAAATGGATATACAGTTACCTCTGAGTTCAAATAGCACAGTCTTTAAAAAATCTGCACTTCTGAGTTCCTTCTTTTTTTTTAATTTAAAAAAATAAAAGGCAACATTTCAGCAGCTGTTCCATTTCCATATATGGCTTGAAAAAAGCTGAAAACTGACACACTTTTTAAGGCTAACTGTATTCCTAGCCACAAAAAATTGGAGATAGCTTTTCATTCCAAATTAAGTCTTAGGGCCTGTGAGGTACTTTTCATCTTTTGCTCAGGGGCTGATGGCAGCTTCTCCCTCTTCCTCTTCTAGTCACAAGAATGCACTGCCTGATAAGCAGCACGATAGCGAGGTTTGAAGCTGGATGCAACATCCTCCTTCAGTGTCACCCACAAATATCAAGTTAATTTGCTGGAAGTGGAGAACACCGCAATCCGAATGCAATTTGCCTGGTCCTTCCTGCATTAACGCAGTTGGCACTGGCAGCCGGCATGCCGCGAAACCCATGCCACGCAGCTGTATGCGTGTGTGTGTGCATCTGTAACTCTCTATGTCACAGGGCACTCAGCACCTCACCGAAAGCACTGAAAGCAAGCAAAGTATGATTTCGACTCAGATGAAAGCTCCCAGGCCGTATAACTCCCCATTATCTGCTATGTTAAGTGTCATGTTGCATCACTGTGCTTTAAAATGCAAGCTCTGCTTTTCTGACAGCTCTGTAAGTTTTGCTGCAGGCTACCTCACTCGGTCCTTCAAGACATGGCATTAGTTGACCTTCATTGAACAGAACAGAACACAAGTAGACCTCTTCATAAAATCACCT